AAAATGTGTTTTAGGGTTTCATGACACTTTAACAGTTCAAACAACTCTGCTAAAAACTATGGGTTCTCTTCATTGGCTCCTACATTGAGGAATTCCCTATCCTCTGAGATTAGGAATGCAGAATCCCTTAGTGTTTTTGAAATAATCCCTTAAAACTTACTTTTTTAGGGTAGCTTTTATGTGATTTATGTGATTACTTTGTCTTTTATTATATTGGCTTTGTATTGTTTGGTTAGTTTTTTACTGCCTGTACTTTTGTGTGTATCTTTTAACTTGTTATATGCATGTAAAGCGCTTTGAGATGCTACTTTTAAAGGCGCTATATAAAATAAAGTTTATTATTATCATTATCGAAATCAGGAATCACATGTTCAGAGAGACTGTTTATGATTTATTGGATTATAAAAAATGAGTGGGTGGATTTTTACTATTATAGGCTGGTTGTTTTCACACACTGCGGCCACACAACTGTGTTCAAACACCTTATAAAAATGATTTTTGCATAATACCTGAGGATCCAGACGAGAGAGCTAGGAGCCCAGGTGGAGTCTGAGGGTCGAAGGACTGAGGTGCAGTCCAGGATCCTGTGGCTGGAGAAGGAGAGAGCTGGGACGACTGGAGTGAGATGTGGTGGCAGGCAGGTGCAGGACTCTGGCTGTGGCTGTTCTGAAGATTCTGAAGAAGCCAGCAGGGCTAGCAGAATGACAGGCTAAAGTAGAGGTGATGGTTCTGGAGGCTGGACTGGAGTGGCATAAACTGCAGCTGACAGAGAGTGAAGTGATGGATAGACCGATAATAGACTAGGGATTGAGAGAACGACAGAACCAGAAGGCAGAGGTGGGATAGGGAGGATGGATGGGAGCTTGAGAAATCAGAAGGGTCAGGGCTGGACAGAACCAGCAAAGACACAGAGGATTTGGACTTGGCCTCCGGGGCGATAATCCGCTATGTCCTCTTGCGCTTTGGTCGCGGCAGGCTCCTGCTCCGTGTCCGCTGTGGGCTCAAGCGATAGCTCTGTCTTGCTGGTGGAAGACTGACTGGGCTCTGGTTTGTGAGTGGGGCTGGTCAATTCTTCCTCATTGGCATTGAAGACGTGAGTGAGTTCACCAGCACCCATTCCACAAAAGTAGCGAGTCTCCCTCGAGGACCTTCCCCGGATAATTTCACCTTCGTAGTGGTGTTAATTCCCATGAAATAAAATGTCGTCAGGCAGTCATTCAGCAAATTAGTGTAGTAGGCGAGGTCCAAGAAATCCTGTGTATGGTCCTCAAGGGAGCACTCCCCCTGCTCCAGCAGGAGGAGGTGAAGAACAGCTGGATTGTCCATAGTGCTCTGAACAGAAAATCAAACAAAAAAACTGCTGCTATATATATATTATAAATTATATGCCAAGCACAGAAGGTGCAAAACCATCAAATATATTTGTTAATTTCTTCTACCATGTCTATACCAGGTCTACAGGTGCATCTCAATAAATTAGAATGTCATGGAAAAGTTCATTTATTTCAGTAATTCAACTCAAATTGTGAAACTCTCACGCAGAAACCGTTCTCTCATGCGTGCTCCACATGTTTTCATATTAAATATTGTTACAGTCGTGTTTACAGAGGTGAACCGACGGCGCAGACGCTCTTTCATGAGGTTTTAATTATCCGCTGTAATACAACCTCATGCATTATACAGCTCAGTGATTGTATCGTAAGACTTCATTCTCATGAATAATACTGAGCAAAGCTCGGAAAATTGATGACGGAAAATTGATACTCTCCAACCACGGTAGCCAATCACCACTGCAAATTAATGCATATACGTCACTTTTCGTGACGTTGGTTCAACTTTTCTTTTTGAAGCGGAAGAACGAAATTGCTCCAAAAAATGAAAAAATAACCACTTTTACCTTAATAATAGACATAATGAGTGCTATTATTGTTTTCAATGATATGCAACCTGTTCATATGTTAACGTCTCAAAAAATGTGTTTTAGGGTTTCATGACACTTTAACAGTTCAAACAACTCTGCTAAAAACTATGGGTTCTCTTCATTGGCTCCTACATTGAGGAATTCCCTATCCTCTGAGATTAGGAATGCAGAATCCCTTAGTGTTTTTGAAATAATCCCTTAAAACTTACTTTTTTAGGGTAGCTTTTATGTGATTTATGTGATTACTTTGTCTTTTATTATATTGGCTTTGTATTGTTTGGTTAGTTTTTTACTGCCTGTACTTTTGTGTGTATCTTTTAACTTGTTATATGCATGTAAAGCGCTTTGAGATGCTACTTTTAAAGGCGCTATATAAAATAAAGTTTATTATTATCATTATCGAAATCAGGAATCACATGTTCAGAGAGACTGTTTATGATTTATTGGATTATAAAAAATGAGTGGGTGGATTTTTACTATTATAGGCTGGTTGTTTTCACACACTGCGGCCACACAACTGTGTTCAAACACCTTATAAAAATGATTTTTGCATAATACCTGAGGATCCAGACGAGAGAGCTAGGAGCCCAGGTGGAGTCTGAGGGTCGAAGGACTGAGGTGCAGTCCAGGATCCTGTGGCTGGAGAAGGAGACAGGGGAACCTCACGCCAACATGGAGCTAATCTCTGATGCAGACCCAAATAGGCGCGAGCAGGCTGAGGTCATGCAGAGGGGATGACGGACAGCAGTGGAGCTGGGACTGAGTGCTTGACTGGAGTGAGATGTGGTGGCAGGCAGGTGCAGGACTCTGGCTGTGGCTGTTCTGAAGAAGCAAGGAAGGCCAGCAGGGCTAGCAGAATGACAGGCTAAAGTAGAGGTGATGGTTCTGGAGGCTGGACTGGAGTGGCATAAACTGCAGCTGACAGAGAGTGAAGTGATGGATAGACCGATAATAGACTAGGGATTGAGAGAACGACAGAACCAGAAGGCAGAGGTGGGATAGGGAGGATGGATGGGAGCTTGAGAAATCAGAAGGGTCAGGGCTGGACAGAACCAGCAAAGACACAGAGGATTTGGACTTGGCCTCCGGGGCGATAATCCGCTATGTCCTCTTGCGCTTTGGTCGCGGCAGGCTCCTGCTCCGTGTCCGCTGTGGGCTCAAGCGATAGCTCTGTCTTGCTGGTGGAAGACTGACTGGGCTCTGGTTTGTGAGTGGGGCTGGTCAATTCTTCCTCATTGGCATTGAAGACGTGAGTGAGTTCACCAGCACCCATTCCACAAAAGTAGCGAGTCTCCCTCGAGGACCTTCCCCGGATAATTTCACCTTCGTAGTGGTGTTAATTCCCATGAAATAAAATGTCGTCAGGCAGTCATTCAGCAAATTAGTGTAGTAGGCGAGGTCCAAGAAATCCTGTGTATGGTCCTCAAGGGAGCACTCCCCCTGCTCCAGCAGGAGGAGGTGAAGAACAGCTGGATTGTCCATAGTGCTCTGAACAGAAAATCAAACAAAAAAACTGCTGCTATATATATATTATAAATTATATGCCAAGCACAGAAGGTGCAAAACCATCAAATATATTTGTTAATTTCTTCTACCATGTCTATACCAGGTCTACAGGTGCATCTCAATAAATTAGAATGTCATGGAAAAGTTCATTTATTTCAGTAATTCAACTCAAATTGT